TATGGGCCTAGCACAGAGAGGTATTTCTGCGGCACTATCACTCAGTACTAATTTCTTACTATGAGAACAGGCAATAATCAGGGAATATATACAGAGAAATAGACACTACAAAAGTGACTGGGAGGGCTGGCTGGGGATTTAGCTCAGTGGTTCCACCACCTGCCTCACAAGTGCAAGGACCCGAGTTCACTCCCCAGTACCAAAAAAAAAAAGTGACTGGGATTACTCATGAATTGTCCCATATGGTATGTGGCATGCTGACAGCAAATGACTACAATCGATTTTTTTGTGTGTGTGGTACTGGGGATCAAATTCAGGACCTTGCGCTTGAGAGGCAGGCGTGGTGCCACTCAACTAAATCCCCGTCCCAACAATCGCTTTTTTTTTACATGACAAATCTTAATTCTTTTTACCATGTATCTTTTTTTTTTTTTTTCGTACCGGGGATCAAACTCAAGACCTTGTGCTTGCGAGGCAGGTGGCGGAACCTCTGAGCTAAATCCCCAGCCCACAATACATCTTCTTTCTACATCTTCTGCCCCAGCCCTTTCCCTACTGATCTCTCCATGATCTCTGACTTCCAACCCTTAATCCTAAAGGTTTCTAAGAAAATCCTGGATGTGAACAGCAGCAGACTGTTTCTAGCACCCTGTGGCACCTCTGGGGTGGGTCACATGGCAGGCACATTCCAAATACTCAGGGTCGTGGCTCTGAATATCCTGCCATAGTTTAACTCGGTGTGCCCTTCGGCCACAACAGTCCCCAGAGCACCCTTGAATATTAACCATGGGCACAGCAGCAGCTCACTGCTCAGTGCTCAGCGGGGAGGGCGGCTGTTCCCTACACAGCACCAGCACACCTGTTGGCCCTCCTTCAGCCTCTCACGATGCACACTAGAGTCACAGGCTGAGGGTGACTTGGTGTCCAGGCATGGCAGGGGCTCAGTGGCCGAGCCCTGGCCCACAGTTTGTGCAGCCCGGATATAAGTGCTCTTCCAGTCTGTTCATTCACAAGCTGTTTTATGATGGTTCATAGGGGAAAAGGGAGACAGTGGTTATAATCTGCCATCTCAGTTACGGGATTTGGTTCAAATTCATGCACACGTCTGCGCGCGCACACACACACACACACACACAATGCAGTTCTAACAGGTGTGAAACTGTTGTTGTCCCTGCTGTATCCATGCAAATGTTTCCCCTAAATCGCTAGAACAGGATAGGCAGTTCCCAATTTATGAAAAGATTATGCTAAATCTACTCTATTTTAAAAACTGGCAATATACTTTTTTTCAAACATATATAAATGGTAAGGTTGAAGTATAACACATAATCGTAAGTGTTTGGGTTAATGAATTTTAAAAATATACATTAAATATATACTCACACATATATATATTTTTAGTACTCAACCAAATAAATCCAGGTATAGCAAGCAGAAATTGCCCTTAAGCTCCTTCTCAGCCAATAACTATCTTAAAGGAAATGCCTATTCTGAATTTTATCCCCATAGATTAGGGTGTGTGTATGTGTGTGTGATACTGGGGACTGTACCCAGGCTCCTGTGCATGTAGGTCAGTGCTCTACCACTGACCTACATCCTCAGTCTCTCCCCTGTTTAAAATTTGAGATAAGGTCTCACTAAGTTACCCAGGCTGGGATCAAACTTGCAATCCTCCTGCCTCAGCCTCCTGAGTAGCTGAAATTAGTTGCATGTGCCAGCTACATTTTAAAAATAACTTAAAAAAAACTTTTTAGTGACAATATAGACGTAACAGACATAAGTACAAAACTGGCATCTCAAGGGCAGAGCCTGAGAAATGTTTAAATACATGTGCTCTCATTTTGGTGGCATGCAGGTGGTCTGTCCCCCCGGGTGTTCATGTCCTGGATGCTTGGTCCCCATGGCAGGGGCGTTGTGGTGGACCCTTTAAGAGTTGGGCCTATTCCAGGTCACAGAAGTGCTGCCCTTGAAAGTGGTGCATGCTCGTCTCCGTGAGCAACTTAGCTCTCAAAGGAATAGCTTGTTGTAAGGATTGTCTCCCTTTTTACTTTCCACCATGGCGAACTGCTGTCCAGGCTCACACCAGGATCCTGCACCTTCTAGCTACTAGAATCTCAAGCCAATCTCCTTCCTTACAAAGTCCCCAGCCACAGGTATGGTGTCATAGCGACACAGCACTGAGGCAGGCGCAGGTGTCACTGCCACTTGAGCACCACACCCACCAGCCTTTCCAAGCCCAGGAAGACTTTGAAGGCCCCTTCCCTGTTAGTACCTGCTCTCCCAAGTAGCCCCTACTCTGATGTCAATTACTTTAATTTTGCCTGTTTTGAGGCTTTACATAAAAGGAGTTGTGCAGAATACTCATGTGGTTTTTGTTCAGACAAAACATCCTGTCCTGTTTTGCATGTAACCAGTTTATACTCTTTATCACCCTATAGTATTTCATCATATGGCTTTACCATGATATATTTCTCATTTCCCCTGCTCTCTTTAACTTTTTTTTTTTTTTTTGGTACCAGGGACTGAACTCGGGCCCTTGTGTTTGTGAGGCAGGCGGTAGAGACACTGAGCTAAATCCCCAGCCCTCCCCTGCTCTCTTGCTAAGGGACATCTGGGTTGTTGCCCCTTTGGGGTTGCTGTGAGCGCAGCTGCTCTGAACATCCTCATGTGCATGCATCCTTGCAAACCTCTGTGCTTGTGTCTGAGAGCAGCTGAGAGGAAGACCTGCCCCCTGTGAGGAGGCTGGGGACTCACTGTCCGCGATGCTTGTCCTCAGATCACGAGGTCAGAATTACATCTGGATCTGTAATGTCTGTGGGGCCCCTTCCTGGCTTTTTGCCTGGGAAGCTCGAGGTTCAAGATGTTCTGGCCACATTCGTGTCATTGGCTCGTTTCTTTTTTTTAAAAGGAATCTTTGACCACCCTCAGTCGGACAGCTAGTACTCTGTAGCAGATTTTGTTATGCTTTTTGGCTGTCAGCATCCAAATCCTTTTACACTTCTGGAGAGGCCCCGATGGATCTTGAGGGAGGCCCAGTTGAGCGCCTGAAGTGAAAGAGCCCCTCACTGCCCCGGGGCCATCAGATCACGGCAGGGGACAGGCCCTCGTCAGTCCCCAGCTGGCCTGAATGCTGTGAGTGGAGGTGCAGCATCCGAGGGGCAGGGCCGGCGGGCCCTCAGCACAGAAGCTGCTCCCAAGAGGGTCTGCAGATGTGATTCTGGACATATTCTGGCTGCACAGTTTGGAACCGGCTTCCAGCTCACACAAGGTGTGAAAAAACTCTTCTTGAACCAACCAACTGGCTTCTGTGGATTAGAACTAACATCTGTGCTTGGTGTGGAGGCAAGGATTTCCATCAGAATTCTCCTGTGACTAATATACAGACATTTACTATTTTATCTGTTAGCATGAGATGATGTCTAGTGAAAATGGAGACCTTCGATGCTGCTTATGATCCAAATCGTCTTGGTAAATGCCTATTATGTGTCAAACATCTTGGAATAACTTTAGTTTCTCCAAAGCATTTAAATGATAGGGTTATCTATTAAAAACTACAGGGTAAGCAGAATTAAGTATTTAAATACATCTAGGCCTAGTGGTGTACACCTATAATCCCAGCACTCTGGGAGGCTGAGGCAGGAGGGTCACAAGTTCAAAGCCTGCCTGGGCAATGTAGTGACCTGGGAGTCAGCCAAAATGAGAACACTGTGCAGTGTGTGAGTCGTGAGGGAGTTGGCAGGCAATACTCATAGACAGACCTCCAAAGACACCCTGAGCATATAATAAATGCAGCCACCAGCTATTGATAAATCAGTTATGCTTTTGCTAATGCAAATTTCTCATCACTAACATCAGAATAAAAGTGTAAAACTAGACATGGATGTTTAGAGGTAAATGGTTTACAGTAGGACCTCAGGCCCTTCCCCTAGTCTGGCCCCATTTCTGGAGGGCTTCAGTGCCTTGCCTGAGGCCACCGCCTATTCCTTGCTCTTTCACCCCAGGGACATCAAACCCTGAAAGCCTAGCTAGGGACAGGGCTCAGCCCACAGCCCAGCTACTCAAAGTCAAGGGGCACGGAGCCCACAACTTTGAGACCAGCCTGGGCAACACAGGGAGACTCGGTCTCACAAAACAAAAACCAAACAAGAGCCCATTTAAACCCATGCACTACAATGGAACTGCATTAACATAAACCTTTAATTACAGGCCGGGGATTTAGCTCAGTGGTTTTGCCGCCTGCTGCGCAAGCACAAGGACCCAAGTTCGATCCTGGAACCAAAAAAACCCGTTAATTACAGAAAAATAACAATCTAGATATAGCCAAGGAGAAGGAAAGCATAATATAGTTTGGTTTTTTTGATACGGGGGATTGAACTCGAGTCCTTGTGCTTGCGAGGCAGGCAGCAAGCAGAATATAGTTTTATTAGTTCTTTTGTGATACTGGGAATTGAACCCAGAGCCTTTGTACTGAGCTACATCCCTACCCACACCCTTTAATTTTGAGACAGGTCTTGCTAAATTGCCAGGCTGGGCTGAAATTTACCACCTTCCTGCCTCAGCCTCCCAGAGTGGTAGGATTACAGGAAAGCATTTCTGCAAATACCACCAAAATCTTTCTCTACATAATATGCTCATATAAATGCATATACAAAGCAGACAATGAGAGGATGCGCTCCAAAATGTTAATACCATGCCCGGCTCCAGTTTCTTTTCTTTTTTTTTTTTTGGTACTGGGGATCGAACTCAGATCCTTCTGCTTGCAAGGCAGGCGGCGGAATCACTGAGCTAATTCCCCAGCCCCTCCAGTTTATTTTCTGATCAGAGAAAATACTTTCTTTTTGGGGGGGGGGCCGGTACTGGGGATTGAACTTGGGACCTTGTGCTTGCAAGGCAGTCACTGGAACCACTGAGCTAAATCCCCAGGCCTGCAGAGAAAATACTTTCAAGAACATGACTGCATCACAGGAATGCTAAGACGCAAACAAGGGCACACAGAAAACAACAGCTAACTGTAATTTTAATTCACCTAAGTACTGGTATAAAAACTTAAAAAAATTAATGTTACAGCATGGTTTTCAAAGATTAGCACTTATAATTGTAGTAAAATAAAGTTTCACAAAGTTAAATATCCTTAGCATTTAATTTCAATGTGAACCGAACCCTTTATGGTCAACCACAATGGCAATGCTTTGCTCTTCTGTTAAGTATTTCTTCTTAAAGTGAAATGCTAGCATGGGCCTCAGAAGATCAAACAAAACCTGGTGGTGTAGTCAGAGGTGCCAGCCTGGCCTCACAGGTCTCTAGGTGTTACCCCTGGGCCGTGCGGGAACCATGGAATAAAACATTCACCATCAACACAAGCACGTGCAGGGTTCATGACAAAGGACGTACAAGTTCATCCTGTGACCCAATTTCTCTTTCTTTTGTTTGTTTTTTGAGACAGGGTCTCTCTGTGTATTTCAGGCTGGCCTTGAACTCACTATGTAGCCCAGGCTGGCCTCAAACTCACAACAATCCTCCTACTTCAGACTCCCCAGTGCTCAGATTATAGGCGTGTGCCATCATGCCTGGTGACCAACACATTCTAAGCACCTGCTGTCTTCGTGCTTTCCTTTAGAAAACTCTGAACATTGTTTGAATGGCAGCTCTATCAGGCAGAAACTGCTTCTATACCTGGGAAACTGCAGACACATCCTGCTGAATGGGAGCCAATAACAATGAATATATTAAATATTAAAAAAATGTTATAGTGTTTGGATTCAACACAGGACCTCACACACACCAGGTAAGTGCTCTACCACGAAGCTATACCTCCAGGCCTGAAAAATTTTTAGTTTTTAAATTTTGTGATGGGGTCTTGCTATACTGCCCAGGCTAGTCTAGGCTGAAGAAACCTCTTGCGTCAGCCTCCCAAGTAGCTAGGACTACAGGGATACGCCACTGCACTTCACTGTCTGATAATTTATTTATTTATTTTTTTGGTACCGGGGATCAAACTTGGGACTTGGTGCTTGCATGGCAGGCACCAGAACCACTGAGCTAAATCCCTGGCCCTTTGATGATTTTTTAAAAAAGTCTTTGTTGGGCCGGGGATTCAGCTCTGGTTCTGCTGCCTGCCTCGCAAGTGCAAGGTCCCAAGTTTGATCCCCGGTACCAAAAAAAACCCCCAAACAAACATGGTCATAAAAAAAAAAATCTTTGTTTATGGTAACAAAAATAAAACCTCTCTCATGAATAAAGTCTCAAAGCCAAGATGGTTCTTAGTAGATGGAGCTTCCCAATAAACAGAAGGGAGAAGCCTAGTAAGTGGAACATCACCGGGCACTGGATGCCATCACAGAGGACAGGAAAGACAGCAACAGTCACATTGTCCTGCTATCCACACATGTAGGACAGGCTGGGCAATGGGCACAGAGGTGTGTGCACAGTGACCCTAACTGCAGATTCGAGGCAGAGCCAGGTGTGGAGCCACGCCTGCAATCCCAGCACTCTGGGAGGCCGAGGCAGGAGGACTGTAAGTTCAAGTCCAAGCTGGGGAACTTATCCACTTAGTGAGAACTTTTTTCAAATAAAAAAATAAATAAAGGGCTGGGTATGTAGCTCAGTGCACAGGCCCTAGGTTCAATCCCTAGTACCACAAAAAGAAACAAAAAAGGGCCGGGGATTTAGCTCAGTGGTTTCATCGCTTGCTTCGAAAGTGCAAGGACCCGAGTTTGATCCCCGGTACCAAAAAAAAAAAAAAGAAACAAGACACATGGGCTACAGTAGAGCCCAATGAGCCAGAGAGCCAGAGCGAAGTATTCACCTAAGGCTACGCGTGGTGAGAGTTGACTACACAAAAAGATGGTTATGACACACAAGGCCTTGTGCTAAGCAGGCTGGGCTTGCTGGACCTTTCCTAGGGAGTTTATCCATGTCCCAGACTCTTCCACAGAGTCCACAGACATGAACAGGGTCTGTCCTAAACGCTATGCAAACACAAGCGCATTCAGCCCTCATAACCGCCTCGGAGGTACCAGGTGTGACCTTCTTCGCATTTCCCACAAGAAACAGGTACATTAGCTCAGTGGTTTCGCTGCCTGCTGCGCAAGCACAAGGACCCGAGTTCAATCTCGGGTACCAAAAAAAAAAAAAAAAAAAAACAGGCACAGAGATTCAACAACTTGCCTAAGATCACAAAGCTTGACAATGTTGATCTTGGATTTGAGAGAAAGAATAATTTTCCCTAAGAATTTCTCTTGGGAAGAGACATTTGATGTAGAAAAATTCCAGGAACCTGCCTGAGAAAAGAGCAGTACCAGAACTGGTAGCCCACTTGCTCAGCACATCCTGAGGATATGATCTCTACAACAATGCATTTGGAGGGGGGGTCTTGGGGTCTCGAAATGTAGTTCAGGCTGGCCTTGAACTCACTATGTAGCCCACACTGGCCTTGGACTTGTAGTGATCCTCCTGTCTCAGCTCCCATCATACTACCACGCCTGGCAGTCAATGTTTTTTTTTTGGTTCCGGGGATCAAACTCAGGTCCTTGCACTTGCACAGCAGGTGGTGAAACCACTGAGCTAAAATCCCTGGCCCAGTCAATGTATTTTTATTTCTGCTTTTTTTTTTTTTTTTGGTATTGGGGATCGAACTCGGGTCCTTGCACTTACACAGCAGGGGGCGAAACCACTGAGCTAAATCCCCAGTCCGCAGTCATTGTATTTTTAACAAGACAGACAAACAGGAAAGTGCTAGGATGAATCCAGGGTTTCTCCCATTCTCAGTGAAGGCGCTCGGCAGGTCTGGTTTGTTTTGAAACGTTCATGTGAAATCACACTGATCAACATTACTTACTGGGAAAGCCAACTAGGAGCCGATTCAAGGCAACTTGCTTCTCTACTTCAGTGTCTGGCATAAAAAGGGCAGTAAATAAATAGTAAGTTGACTATTAAAAAAGTAGTTTCAAGTAAGGCTTAAGAATAACCTTGTATATCCCAATTCATTATTTTGTCATAGTCTTGAATTTGTTGCTTTATGTGAGAAAGTTTACTCTTGAGGTAATCACAGCGTTCTTTTTTTTCCAAAAATGAAGGATCCTAGAAAAGAAACACAGCTATTATTTAGCATTCAGCTTCGTCAGCAATGAAGACAAACATCCAACATCACTCAGAAAATGGCCCCATACATCCCAATTCCCTTTGGCAAACTGCAACACTGACCTTATCAGAACACAGCCAAGTGCTCTACACTTTCCTTTCCTTTTCTTTGGTGGTACTAGAGATTGCTCAGAGTTTCATACATGATAGGCAAAGGCTCTACCACTGAGCTACTCCCCAGCCCCTACTTTTACTTTTTTATTTTATTGTATTTTTTAGTACCAGGGATTGAACTCAAGACCTCGTGCTTGCCAGGCAGGTGCTGTGCCACTGAGCTACATCCCCACCTTCCCTTATTTTTTTAATTTATTTTTTTGTTTTTGTTTTTTATTTAAAAAATTTTTTTTCTTCCCTTGTTTTTTAAAAAGACTTTATTTTTTCGAGGAGTTTTACCAAATCAAGTGGGAAGAACAAAGGGGCAAACTAAAGGCAGCTTTACTTTGGAGTATATAAAAAAGTAAATAATAAGTATAGAAAAGAGTAATCAAGGTGGCTCCGCCTCGGACTGTGAGAGGAAGTGAAAGGTGTGAAGATGTAAAGTGAGGTAAGCGTTTGGAAGGAGATAGGGTGAAGAGTTGTGAGTCTGACCTCATTTCCCTTGGCTGCGGCAAGGATAGAGCAAAAAGAACTAGGGCACAGACTCTAAGAAGAGCCGCTCAGCAGCCACCAGTTTTCCCTATAAGCAGCATCTTAAGAAATACAAGGCATCATGTTGCAGTGATACACGCTTACCCATGTTTACAGCAGCACAACTCACAGTACTGAACCTGGGAAGCAGCCAGCATGCGTATCCACAGAGGAAGAGATGAATAAAGAAAATGTGGTATTCATCCACAATGGAGTACTACTCTGCCACAAAGAAGGATACATCTGAGTCATCTCTAGGAAAATGGATGCTCCTTGAGACCATAATGTTAAGTGAAATAAATCAGACACAGAAGGTTAAGTATTTCATGCTTTCTCTTATGAGAAACTCCAAGTATACATAATTTAGGAGCAAAATAAAAGATAGATGATAGGAGACAAGGATAGATTTAGTGAGATGGGAAGGTCTAGGGATGGGGAAGACAGAAGGAAAGAGGGGAGGGGAAGTAAAAAGGATCAAGACGAGAGATGTGTATGTTTCAATTCCCCATGGTGAGTGTACTTATTATGCATTGCAAACATACTGTACTAATAAAAAGGGGAGAAAAAAAGAAACACAGGAGAGCCCCCTTATTGGGGGGTGCATTCTAAGACCTGCAGTGCATGCCTGAGACCAGAAACACTGAGCCCTTTATATATATTATGTGTTTCTGAGACTTACACAGGTTCAATTCATAAGTCGGGCACAGTGCAGGATCAGGTTCAATTCGTAAGTCAGGCACAGTGCAGACTAACGATAACAACTAGCAATAAAAAGAACAATTGGGACAGTATACTGTGGTAGAATTTTGATCATCAGTACTCTGAGCTTGGGGACCATCGTTAAGCAGAGCTAGGGGTTCCGTGACACCAGCCCAGTTCCCTCGACATTCAGTCTGGTAACTGAGACAGCAGCCGGCAACTGCAGTGTGGGGATGTGCGGGCTGTGGGCTGATTTACACCAGGGCAGGATGGGGCAAGTGGCGCGAGATCTCGTTACATCACTCACAAGGGTGAATGATTTAAAATTTAGAAATTAAGCCATGTGTAATGCCAGACACCTGTAATCCCCGGCACCTGGGAGCCTGAGGTAGGGGGATTGTTCTGAGTTTGAGGTCAGCCTGGCCCACATAGTGAGTTCAAGGCCAGCATGAACTACATAACAAGACCATGTCTAAAAACAAACAACGACCGGGGGTTTAGCTCAGTGGTTTCACTGCCTGCCTTGCAAGCGCAAGGAGCCGAGTTCAATCCCCGGTACAAAAAATAAAATAAATAAAAACAAACAACAACAGTAAAAATAACATACGAATTGTTTATTTCTGGAACTGTCTATTGATTAGTTTTGGACAGTGGTGAACTGTGGGTAAGTGAAACTTTGAAAAAAAGATCAAGGACAAGGAGGACGACTGCACCTCAGCTAAAAGAATCTGAAGTCTGGCAATGATTCCCCCAAGTACCTGGCTAAGAATATACTGTGAGAAAGAAAACTGTTTCACTCACATTCTTCTTCTTCTTAAACTCTTCATGGATTCTGGAAATTCTCTCATGTTCCTAAAAATAATATATTGTACATTTGAGTTAAAACATTTGCATTTATTCAAATCATATCTCAAATAACACTGGGTATCTATTAGAAAGAAAACAATTTTAACTTAAAACTATAATGAGAATATTCATATACAAAATCTAATTAACCGGACACATACTTGAGGGCCCACTACCTGCAGTCTTCAGGATCCAGGGATGGCAGAGAGCAAGGCCAGACCCCATCCCAGTGCCATTGCTCCCAGTTGTGGGACCCTGGCAAGGTAGTCTTCCTCTCTAAAACTCAGCATCCTGATCAGTAAACGGGAATCATAATCGTAAGAACCTCAAAGGGTTGCGGGAAGGTTCACTTACAAGTAAAGTCCTTGGTACATAATAACCATAGCAGGTTTTTTCTTTTCTTTTCATTCTTTCTTTTTTCTTTTTTTTTTGGTGCTACTGAGGATCGAACTAGGGGCCTTCGCACTGAGCTACCTCCCAAACCCTCCTCATACCTTGTTTTGTTTGTTTTTGGTACTGGGAATCGATGTCGGGTCCTTGCGCTTGCGCAGCAGGCACTGGAACCACTGAGCCAAACCTGGCTTCACACCTTGTTTTGAGACAGGGTCTTGCTAAACTGCCCAGGCTGGGCTGGAACACTTGGGATCTTCCTGTCTCAGCCTCCCCGAGTGCTGGGGTTATAGGGGTGCCCCATTGCATTCAGTTCTTGAAGTAGCTATTATAATCATTTATCATTCCCTTTGGAAAGTTCCTTTCATACAATTAGGTGTTGGGATTAGGAGGTTGAGACTCTTGAAAATAGCTAATGTGGGCCAGGGATTTAGCTCAGTGGTTCCACTGCCTGCCTTGCAAGCACAAGGACCCAAGTTCGATCCCCGGTACCAAAAAAAAAAAAAAAAAAGAAAAAGAAAATAGCTAATGTAAGCTCCTTATAATTTTATCCTGAGTTTTACAGTAAATATAAGGTTTGTTAACAGGTTGAATCTTTCCAAAGGCAACAGATTATTAGAGCAATACCCTCATGGTATCCATGTAAATGATTGCTACAAAAGTTAGATAGAAAAAATACATTGTAGCAATTTTTAGTTCTAAAAGCTTCCTCCAAGAACATTTTCTACCACCTAACCACATCCTCTTCCCAATGTTGTTGTTTTTTTTGTTTGAGACAGGGTCTTGCTATATAGCCCAGGCTGGCTTTGAACTCACTGTGTAGCCCAGGATGGCCTCGAACTCATGGCGATCCTCCCACACTTCTGTGGGGACATGGTCGGACCAGGACTGAGCCCTGCAGACTGCTGCCCAGCCTGAGAAGTTAACTTCAGGTTCAGCCAACCCTCTACTTTAGTAAGGACTGCAGGAGATGCTGGTGACACCTGCCCGACTGTCACTTGGTTACCTGCTGGCTGTGTTAAGTTACAGACCCTTGGGAATGACTGGCTCACAGTACAGGAACATCATGTCAGCCCCTCAGCTCTGCTGCACCCAGGACCCTTCCACCTGCCAAGCCACCTGGTCTCAGGGAGAGCATGCCATCCAAATCGAGTCTATACCAAGTGCACAAATGCAGACCTTGGGCCCTGCTCTGAGAACACATGTCGAAGTTGGGCCTCTGGCTTTGGTTCTCAGCCAGACTCTGGCTACCCTCCTAGCTGTGCTCATCTGGGCAGTGGGGCCTGTTCACTGTTCCTGTAACCCTCTTTCTGGAGACTTGGTCTTGCTATGTTGCCCAGGCTGCCCTCAGGCAATCTCCTGCCTCAGCCTCCCCAGTGCGGGAATTATAGGTGTGTGCCCCTACAACCTGTTAAATGGTAATCTGGACCAGTTATTATCTTGAAGATCTCAAGTGTTTTCCTAGGTAGCAGACAGATGGTTCTGGATTTTTGCAACAGTCAGTTTGTCTGTCCTCTAAATCTCAGTGCCCCTCTACCACAGGCAGCTGCAGGCACTGACCTGTCGGTTTTCTGAGTGGTGTGGCAACCTGCTCATCACAGCATCCAGCTCGTCCAGCTTCCTGAGGACAGCCTGAACTTCTGCAGATAGCTCCTTGTACTCTGAAAACTGGTCCTGGAACACAGCTTTGTAGCGCTCTCGTTCATCGTCTGTTTGAATCATAGGGTATTTTCTAAGGGAAAAGCATAAACCTAAATTTCACCAGAATAAGCTGAATGAAAATCAGCTTAGCTTACTCTCTATGGGCCCCATGTTAGCTCTGATTCGCCTCTTACCCCCTGACTACTGACACCTGTTCACACAAATGATTTTTAAGAGCATTTACCTGCAGGCGACAGGCGCATGAAAGGCCTGAGTAGGACCCTTCAAATGCTCCACCCCACCCCCCAGTCAGACCAGTAAGTCATACCGATACTCACGCCACATAGTCGGGCATCACAATGGGTTTTGGGATGTGGCCTGGGGGAATAGGGCTACTCAGCAGTTCTGGCTTTGTTTTTGTTGTTCTCAATTCTTTGAAATTAACTTCTAGGTCTTTCTGTCTGTCACTGGTGACTATTTCACACTATAGAGAGGGAGAGACAGGACAGATATGTAAACAGGAGCAGAGGAAAAATACCTGCAGAACCACTGAGCTAAATCCCAGGCCCTAACTGCTTAAGAAAGAGTGCGGAGGGGTAAGCAGAAGGAAACTGGAAGTAGTTACCAGCATCTCACCTGAGAATTGCATGCTTGTTCAATTGATGGACTTGCTGATTTGCAGTACTGAGGATTGAACTCAGGGCCATACCTGTGCTATGGTAGAAAGAACTTTACCACTAAGCTAAATGTCCAGCCCTTCTTCAAATTCTGAGACTGAGTTTTGCTAAATTGCCCAAGCTAGCCCCCAGCTTGCAATCCTCCTGCCTCAGCTTCCCAATTAGCTGGATTACAGGTGTGTGCTACTGTCCCTGGCAGAATTCTCTTTTATGATCACAAATGTGTACTGTTTCTGTAATAGCTAAAGGGAATATAACAGTTTCAACCCTGTATGTCAAAGGTGGACAGTGAAACACCAAATGAGAGGGCTTCATACTTAAAGATTTATACCCTAAGTATAAAAGTTTTTTATTTTTTTGAGACAGGGTCTCACTTTGTAGTTCAGGATGGCCTCGAACTCGCAGTGATCCTCCTGTTTCAGCCTCCCAAGTGCTGAGATTACAGGTGTGGGCTAAAAGTATTTTAAAGTGCAGTTCAAAATAAGAGATTTAGAGGAAAAATGGAATAAGGCTATTTAAATGGAAAGAGAAAAATGAGAAGAATCTATTACAAGCACCCACTAGGAACAACAAAGGGGAACAAGTTACACTGTTCTCATTTTCTGAAACAAGCGAATTAGCTCCTCCTGCCTCAGCCTCCTGTGCCTCCCACGCTGAGGTTACAGGCGTGGGCCACCATGCCTACCTTGTTTCTGTTTGTACAGTGCTGGGGACCAAACCTGGCCTCCTGCACTCCAAAGCAAGTGCTCTGCCACTGACCATACCCCCAGCCCACGCTGCCCTGATGCATTCACAAGAGTAACACGAGGAAACCTGTGTACATCTGTGTAGTTTATCATGCATGTCTTGCAGTCCCTGATGCTCCAGGAGCAGCTGGAGAGGAGTTCGGGATGAACAGGTCAGGTAAACCCTCTCTGCTAGAGGAAAGCCCAATCAAGCTTCAGAGCAGCAACCCTACTTGTCCATTAACCCTGAGAGCCTTCAAGGGGGACCTGGGGCGGGGGAGACAGGAAGGTGAGGAGGGAAAGGGAAATAAGGATCAAGATGCGACAGCCATATGCAGCGATTCCCAAGATGAGTGCAATTATTATGTATTGCAAACATACACTTAAAAACAGAAAGAAACAGGCAAACAAAATACAAAACAGGATTTTGAAACCTTGCTCTCTATCTTCTGTATCTTGCCGGGCAGATTTTAGAGTGCTTTGCTTTCCAACTTCCCTAACCTGAGGCAGCCTCTGAGGTTTGGTTTAGGGTTAGCTCACTATAAACCACCACCTCCTGACTTGCCGCAGCGTGGCCAGGGCATGGACTGCTGAGCAGCCAGAGCAGGAGATAGGAGGGAGCCTGCTGGAACTGGCCCTGGGCCTGGGCCCAGAGCACCAGGACAGGAAGGGTGGCCACGGGAAAGTGCTAGCAGGGAATTCCAGAGAAGGCACTGGTTTGGTGTTCATTCTGCTGTGTTCCTGGCTGCTTCAGGTGCCATTTCTTCATCTCATGAATGTCAAGAATGAATCGTGGTTTAAACATTAGGGGATACTCTCTGGGCTTGGGTAAGTGGATTTCCGTTTTCTGGCATCTTTCTTTAACTTCTGAATGTCTACGATTGCGTGTGGCCTAGGAAGCTGCTCGGGCGCACGTTGGTCCTCTGGATCTCCGAGACAGTCCCAGGCCCTGTCTCAGGCATTCTACTCACAGTCCCGGACTCTGCCCAGGGGTTACACTGAGAACAAGAGCCCATAATTATTTTCCAGGTAACATTTTTTAGAGCGAGAATGATTCATTTTCCTTCCTTTCCGGGCCCTAACTCTCAGATCTACCATTTTCTTTTTCTCCTGTGTGCCAGGCAGGTGCTCTACATGGAGCTACACCCTCAGCCTTCCTGTCCATTACCGTCTAACCTTGATCTGTCTGCTACATCAACACCCTTTTCAATCTGAAATTCCCCACCCACATAATATTATTGTAGGACTCTGGCTATTGCAACTGTTCCTGGCCTAGGGAATTTCCGAGTTCCTGGTCAGTTCTTCAGGGTGGGATGTGCTGCCCAAAGCCACTATCCTGGGAGGGAAGACAGCTCTCTCCATTGAGTCATGCTCACTACATCCCTGTGCTAAGCACAGAAGATGGCCAACAGGATCAATTAGGGAAGCTGCATTTAAACCTCAAAGGGCCAGTTTTATTAATTGTTTAACAATAAGTTTTGTCCTGCCTAATTTTTTATTTTTTGCCTTTTGAGACAGGGTCTCACTATATAGTTCAGGCTGGCCTTGAACTCACTGTGTAGCCCAGGCTGGCCTCGAATTCGTGGTGATCCTCCTGTGCCTGCCTCTGGAGCCCTAGGATTACAGGTGCGCACTGCCATACCTGGCTTACACTGCCTAATATGTGACACAGGTATTTATTAATGTAATTTCTTAAAAGCTTAAATTTTAAAATAGGTAATCTATACATATGGTATATAATTCAAAAGGTTGGAAAGGGTATATAAAGAAAAGTAATCCTCCCCTGTGTCATCAGCTAGCCAGTTGCCTTCCTAAATGGTAACAACTACACATTATCAGTTTTAGGGTATCTAATTTGACAGCTGAAAAATATCTTCCTCTAACTTGCTCTAATTAGTAGTATTGTCATTAAGAACAACTCTAATTGGGTTGGGGATTTATTTAGCTCAGTGGTTCCACCGCCTGCCTCGAAAGCGCAAGGACCCGAGTTCAATCCCTAATACCAAAAAAATTTCAACCCTAATTGAAATGTATATCCTGACAGCAATAAATATTTTTTAAAAATCAATGAAATATGCCAGGTATGTGGCCCACACCTGTAATCCCAGCACTTGGGAGGCTGACATAGGATGATCGCCTCATGTTCGAGGCAGGCCTAGGCTATATAATGAAATGCTGTCTCAGGGGGAAAAAAAGTTAAAAGTATTTCCTCTTTTTTCTTTTTTAAAAATTTTACTTTTGAGACAAGGTCTCAATATGCTGCCCAGGTTGGCTTCTAACTTTTGATTCTCCCACTTCAGTACTATAGGCACACAGCCTTGTGCCCAGTCCACCAAAGGTGGACTCTGGATACAGAATTATAGCCTTTTATTTTGTGAGGTCCTTTTGGTTTATTTTCATCATTTCTTGTTTTTCAGTGCTAAGGATTGAGCTAGGGACTCTCCCATGCTAGGTAAGGGCTCTCCCACTGAATTACATCCCCATACCTGTTCCAAAGGTATTTTCAAAATATATTCACTTAACAAAACACTTGTTCAAACTCACAATCAGGTAGAAAATCAGACAGGATATGAACAGGCAGTTATTAGGGATGGAAATGTAAACATGACATACAAAAATGTAAAACTTCATTCTAGATTCAAAGAGAAATGCACATTATAATTACACGGGCTGCCATTTTTCATGATGAGATTGAAAGATGTCAACAAATGACCTCAGCCTGCATTAGGGTGGGGCATGGCTGTGGGGCTGCTGGGAGCAGAAGCTGGTTAAAACCTTTACCGGATAATCTGGCAATCAGAATAAAAATGTGTGCCTGTCTAATCCCCAGAAATTCAATTCTCAGAATTTATATTTGAAGGATATTTGTAACATATGGGAAATGAAGTTGTATGAATAGATACTTGTAAGTACAGTGGAGCCTCAAGTTACAACGGGCTCAACATAGCAATAACCTGGGTTAATTAGGTTAATGGAAGATTCATCTGCCTCTTGTTATCTGTAGTGTGTACCCAGGTAAACATCCAGAGCTCAGCTGTATTGACTTACAACCAACTTGAGTTTCAACCAGCTCTCGGGAACAGATTGAGTTTGTAAGTCAAGGGTCCATTGTATAAAGTTACTCACTGTAGCAGTTCTGTCTTTCCCAGTGCTGAAGATTGAATCCAGGATCTTACACAGGCTGAACTACGGCCCCAGTACTGTAGCAAGTGTTTTTAATAATGGAAGACTGGAAACAGTCCAAGTCAGTGATGGCAAATCTTTTAGAGCTTTCAGTGACAGTCAGCTACAGCATCCGTGCCCTAGGTTTGCTACCACTGGGCTAAGTGTTTATTTGCAGTTAAATAAATTATGGCATACCCATGCAGTGCGATGCTATCCTGTTATAGAAAAAGAATGCCCAAATTCATTATAGATTAAAAGTGTCCAACGATGTGGCACGTCTAAATCCCAGCACTCAGGAGGCTGAGGCAGGAGGACAAGTGAGTCAAGGATAGTCTGAGCTACTACACAGTGAGTTCAAGGCCAGCTTGGACTATATACTGAGACCCAGTGGTTTGTTTGGTTTTGTTTCTTTTTTTTTTTGGTACCAGGGATCAAACTCATGACCTTGTGCTTGCAAGGCAGGTGTGGTACCACTGAGCTAAATCACCAGCCCCAAGATCCTGTCTAAAAAAAAAAAAAAGCTGAGGTGTATAATGGATGTTGGGAAATGGGTAGAAAGTGTTCAAATGGGAAGGGGAACAAGGGAGAAAGGAGGGAAGCAAGAAAAAAAGTGAAAATAGTGAAAATAGAAGGAAAAAATGGAAACAAAGCTCCCATAGAGAGGGAAGGGAGCTTGAGTGGGGGAATGGGATAAAATAAAATTTATTTTTAAAAAAAGGCAAGCATGGTGGCCCACACCTATAATCTGAGCACTTTGGGAGGTTGAGGCGGGACAGCAAGTTTGAGTTCAGTCTCGGCAACTTAATGAGACTGCCTCAAAATAAAAAATAAAAAAGGGCTGGGATGTAGCTTACTGTGGAAGTTCAACCCCAGTTCCACACACACACACAAAGATGTAGTATATACTAGTAGTAACATTGCAAGTGCTCATGCGTACAAGTGTAAAGTGTAAAAAGTAAAATTCAAAGTTGTCTACCATAGACACAAAGATGAGAAAGAAAGAAAGATAAAAATAGATGAGTAGAATTATTATAATAACAGCTGGGGATTTAGCTCAGTGGTTCTACCGCCTTGCCTTGCAAGAGCAAGGTCCTGAATTCAATCCCCGGTACCAAAAATTATAAAAAATACACGAATAAATAAGGAAAGAAAGAAAGAATGAATTATAATAACAGTACCTCACCAAATCTTCTCAGCAAACCTGTGAGGCAGAAACTATCATCATTCTAATTTTACACAGTAAGAAACAGAAGCACGGAAAGGTTAAATAACTTGTCACCCAATAGTCAATCCTGGAACAAGAATTCCTGACACTACAAAAATCTCACATCTGAATGTAAACTGGGGAGGACAGAAAAGAACAGCAAAACACTTTAAAGGGAAATTAAGAAAATGTGGGAGATACTTTCATTTAAAACATGAACAATTTAAAAAAATTAACAATTGAGTGGAGCTATAGATAAGACTGTCTCATATGAGTCTTTTAGTATTAGAAAAAGGTGAAAAGTCCTCATATGAACTCAATGTAATAGTTGCATTTTCATGAAAGGATTTACTATGTAGACAAATAGATACGAGAGAAAAGTATTTAACAAATCTAGACCCAAAGCATAATGTGAAGTAAACTTCATTCTTACCATTTTTCTTTTCGATGACAATGATGATTCATGGATCTAGAACAGAGAGTTCAAATGATTCTTTGAGGTGTGAGCTACTTTGCAAAGTTCCCGTGCATCTGCACCCCCAGCCCAGCCCCAGCTCCAAGGGCTGCGCCTCCTCTGTTGCTGGGGTCTGTAGGCCTAGAATGGAAGGGCTGCTACTGGGGTTCCTTGGCAGTCAAGAACAGAGAGGACTCATTAGAAGGGGGATGTAGAGACCTTTAGGTGAGTTGCTAGAATTATCTAGAGGTTGTATTTATTCCTGGTTCCCATTAACTTGAATGACTAGAGTTGAAAGAGTTATCCTATTAAATTAATAGAAAAAAGTCAAAGGCCATGGCCAGGTGTGGTAGTGCACCCCTGTAATCCCAGCACTTGGGAGGGTGAGGCAGGAGGATCGCTCTGAGTTTCAGGCCAGCCTGGGCTACATAGTGAGTTCAAGGCCAGCCTGAATTACATAGCAAGATCCTGCTTCAAAACAAACAAAAACAACCAAACAAAAATCAAAGGTCATTACATCTTCTAACCTTTAGGAAGTTACAGCAACATACAAATAGGTATAACCTTCAAAAACAGGTGACAGGTCTAATCAAGCACTATGAAAAGGCTAGTAGAGGACAGGGGTTTAGCTCAGTGGTTCTGCCGCCTGCCTTGCAAGTGTGAGGTCCCGAGTTCGATCCCCAGTACCAAAAACAAAAGGCTAGTAGAAATGAGTTTTTGTTGAGAAGGAAATAATATCGTATCATTGTTAATAATTATGGTATTAACACAGAATTTTGAAATGCTAAGATTTAATAACTAAACTTGCCATGGTGGTGCACACCTATAATCCCAGCATTTGGGAGGCTGAGGTAGGAGAATGGCAAGTTCAAATCCAACCTGGGCTAAACAATGAGTTCAATGCCACTATTGCTGGACAACACAACAAAGCCCTGTCTAAAAAAACAAAAAACAGAAACAAAAACGAAAACAAAAAACCCAAAATTTATTAAACTGGTGTAAAATTATGAGGAAGAAGGTGAGTCTCAGTATCTGGATTTCATACTGATTAGAATTTGTAATACTTAGCCAATCATGGTGGCTCATGCCTGAGGCTGAGGCAGGAGGATTACAAATTTGACCCCAGTTGAGCAATTTATTGACTTAGACTCTGACTAAAACCAGAAACTGAAAAAGGCCTGGGGATGTACCTCAGCACAAAGACCTTAGGCTCAGTCCCCAGTAACACAAAGAAAGTACTTTCATCCTGCAATTTAGCATTTTTATGGGTTTTTACATGAAAGAATCAAGATTTTTCTCATATTTTTTAAAGAGTGGGAAGGGAGATAGTGGGGACTGGGCCCAGGGCCTCACACATGCTAGACAAGCACGGTACCACCAGCCAGTACATCCCTAGCCCTTTAAAAAATTCTATTTTGAGACAGGGTCTTGTTACCGAGGCTGAGATCAAACTTGCTGCTGCCTCCGCCTCCTGTGTCACTGAGGTTACAGAACTGTGCCACCCCACTAGGCTCAAGTTTACTTTAATACGATACTTATTTTACTGAGCACAATGCTCTTTACTGAAATTCAAGTGTTTTTCTCTTTAGTGTCCGCTGGCGATAATAATGCAGTCAACAAACTACCGCATCTAAAGTCTTCTTGCAGTAACAAGCAGAATTTCAGAGTGAATCATCTCAAAGAAATTTGAGTACTAAAATCTACGTCAAAAAACTTTGTTTTGAGGACGAGGAATTTTCAACAGAGAAGCAAGCCCACGTACCTCCTGCTGCTCCATGTACTCGCGGTGCCTGCGCGCGGCCTCGTGCCGCCAGAGCTTCAGGCAGACTAGCGCGCTGATGAGATAAACGATCATGTTGATGAACAGGAAGATCATGGCTGCAATCTGGCCCCCTTCCACCCGGCAGAAGCCCACATTCATCGGCGTGTTAAACACCGGGTAGTAGCACAGCCCCCCTCGGTTGGTGTCGTTCACGTAGACGATGGCCGCAGCCATGTACAAGATGAACAGGGCCACGCTGATGCCGAACTCAGTGAGCGGCCACCAGTTCGAGTCCAGCAGGATGGTGCGGTAGTACATGGACATGCCAAGCACCAGGAGGATGATGGTGGTGATCCAGGCCAGGCTTGCCACCACCAGCACGAAGGGGGTCTTGGGGCCGCTGTAGTAGTAGCCCCCGTAGGCGCTGCCCAGGCCCCCCACACCCCCCATGGCGTAGGGCTGTGAGTAGCCGAACATGTTGTACCACTCGTTGTCCTTGTGGATGTAGGCGGTGACGCAGGCGAAGACGCCGGCGCCCAGCAGCAGCTGCACCACCCCCAGGAGGCGCAGCAGGCCGGCCCAGGACTTCATGTAGGAGTAGCGCAGCTGGTACTGCTCCACCTTCTCGCTGTACGTCCGCGCCGTCCCCGTGCCATGGCCCAGCGACGCCCAGGGGTCGTGGGCGGACATCGGGGCCCCAGCCCCTCCGTGGTCCCCGCAGGACTCAGGGGGCGAGCGGTGGCGGGTTGGCGCCGGGGAGGACGGGGGCGAGCACTCCACGCCTTCCGAGATGTACCCGCCGTCGGACATGTACCCCACGTCAGACCCGGCCAGGGCCCAGCTCGGGGCCGCTCTCTTCCCTCGGAAGAAGTCCTTCCAGGAGTCGGGGATGAAGCGCCGCACCGGCTTGAGATCGGGGGCCACGGCTGGCTGTTCTGTGTCACCTGAGAAGAGGTCTGGGCCTAATGGTGGCTGTAACGGGAGAGGAGGAGGTGGCAGAGGATCGGCGCTCAAGGCCAGTTCACTGTCGTGAAGACTCTGGAGGGTTCGTAGGGTGCCACTGGGATCCGCCTGATCCCTTGGGACCTCATTGTAGCCCCAGTCCCGAATCTTGGATCTTCCATCATTTGACGACATTTGTGATTTTCACACCTATGGTCAAGATTAAAGGTATCACTTCTTGTCTGTTTTCAGTTGTCACTTATGTATCTTTTCAGCGATGCTGATTTTATTCAGTTAGCAAAAAATATTCAGGAGACCAACATGATTCTAGTTACTAGGATACATAAAAATAATAAATGTATATTTTCAGCTGGACCTGATGGCTTGACTTAGTGTCTCGAAGTAAAAATAAAAAATGTGCTGAGGATGTAGCTCATTGTGAAGATCCCGGATTCAGTCTCCAGCCCTGCAATAAACAAATAAATAAATGTAACAACTAAATTACTGAGGAATGTAGTTATTATTCTATACCATTTAAAGCACAATAAAAAATGTAAACATTAGCTCTGAGTGAGACAAGACCCGCAGTTAGCTCAGGGTGTGTGGTGGCACACACCTGCTATCCCAGCTAGGCAGGAGCCTGACCTGGGAGGTAACAGAGTGAGACTCAGCCTCATAAATAAGTAAAAGGCATGGAAATTAAACAATAGTGTACCCTCTTGCATAATCAATGGTCACAGAAGAAATTGAGGAAGGAATTAGTTCATAGAATCGAACAATAATGCCAGCACCACACACAGGAACCTGCAGGACACAATGAAAGCATTCCTAAGAGGGAAGTTTACAGCTGCAAATGCCTGCATCAGAGTGAGCCCAAATAAATAAAATCATGATGCACTTCAAGGTCCTAGAAAAACACAAACAATCCAAATCTGAAGCTAATACAAGGAAGGAAATTACAAAGATCAGATCAGAAATTAGTGAAACAGAGACTAATAAAACAATACAAAGAATCAATGAATCAAAGAGCTGGTCCTTTGAAAGAATAGCTGGGCATGGTGGCAAATGCCTGTAATCCCAGAACTCAGGTGGCTGAGTCAGGAGGATTGCTGTGAGTTCAACACCAGCCTGAACTACATATCAAGACCCTGTCTCAAAAAGAAGAAGAAGAAAAAAAGACAAACTTCTAGCCCAGTGATGGCAAACGTTTAGAGCTTTCAAGGATACAAACAGCCCACTGCAGCACATAGGTTTGCCACCACTGCCTTAGCCAATCTCACCAAAAAGAAAAAAAAGACCTAAATCAAGGTAGTTAGAAATGAAAAAGGGAGAAATCACAACAGACTGTCAAAATTCAGATTATTAGTAACTACTTTGAGAATCTGTGCGCTAATGGAGAATTCAGAAGAAATGAACAGACTCCTAGATACATATGAACTACTAAAGCTGACCCAAGAAGACATAAAAACTCAGGCTAATCCAGTATCGGGCAATGAAACTGAAGAAGCAATAAAAGAATAACAAAAAACGTACCAACTAAGAAAAGCCCAGGACCTGATTGGATCCACAGCTGAATTCTACAAGAACGTTAAAGATCTAACATCAATTTTACTCAAACCTTTTAATGAAATTCAAAGGGAAGCAGTTCTCCTAAAGTCATTCCTGGAAACTAGCATTACCCTGATTCCAAAACCAGAAAAGGACCTCACTAAAAAAAACTATAGGCCAATCTCTTTAATGAACATAGATGCAGAAATCCTCAGTAATATTTTGGTAAACAAAATGCAGCAAATCATCAAAAAGATTATACATCATGACCAAGTAGGCTTCATCCCAGAGATGCAGGGACGGTATGACACAGTAAATGTAATACATCACATAAACAGAAGCAGGGACAAAAATCACATGATCTTCTCAATAGATGCAGAAAAAACATTTGACAAAATCTAATATACATTCGTGATAAAAACCCTGAGGATGGGGCTGGGGATTTAGCTCAGTGGTTCTGCCGCCTGCCTCGAAAGCGCAAGGACCTGAGTTTGATCCCTGGTACCAAAAAAACCAAAACAAAACAGAAAAACAAAACAACCCTGAGGAAAATAGGTATATAAGGACCTAATCTCAATCTGATAAAAGCCATTTATGAAATGGCCAACATAATATTAAAATAGAGAAAAGCTGAAAGCTTTCCCTCTAAAATCAGGAATAAGACAAAGATGTCCGTTATCACTACTCCTGTTCAATATAGTTCTTGAAACATTACAAGCAAGTAGGCAAGAGAAATAAAAGGATATGTATAGGAAAGTAAGAAGCCAAATTATCATTATTTGTAGATGACATGATTCTCTACCTAAAGACCCAAAAAATTCCTAGAATAGCCAAATTTAGTAGTGTAACAGGATACAAAGTAAATACAAAAAAATCAATAGTGTTCCTCTATACCAATAATAAATTCATGGAGAAAGAAATTAGGGGAGGGCCGGGGATTTAGCTCAGTGGTTTCACCGCCTGCTGTGCAAGTGCAAGGACCTGAGTTCAATCCCCAGTACCAAAAGAAAAGAAAGAAATTAGGGGAACAATACCTTTCACAATATTATTAAGAAAACTGAAATAACTAGGAATTGCAGTAACCTAGGCAATGAAGTGAAAGACCTCTACAACAAAAACTACAGTACTCTGAAAAAGGAGATGGAACAGGATATCAGAAAGTGGAAAGGTTATCTCCTGTTCCTGGACAGGCAGAAGCAATACTGTCAAAATGGCCATACTTCCAAAACTGACATACACATTTAATGCAATCCCAATCCAAATACCAACAGCATTCCTCACAGAATCAGAGAAAACAAACCTAAAATTCATATGGAACCATAACAGACGCAGAATAGCAAAAGCAATTCTGGGCAACAAGGCAAAGCTGGGGGCATCTCAATCCCAGATTTCAAGTTATACTACAAAGCTACAGTGATATAAAATGGCATGCTACTGGCACAAAAGCAGGCATGTGGATCAATGGAACGGAATAGAGGAGGCAGAAACAACCCCAGACACCTTCAGCTATCTGATCTTTGACAAAGGGGCCAAAAACATACCCTGGAGGAAAGATAGCCTCTTTAATAAATGGTGCTGGGAAAACTGGTTATCCAAACACAGAAGATTGAGTCTAGACCAGTATCTCTCACCCTGCACTAAACTAAAATCAAAATCAATCAAATATCTAAAAGATAAACAGAAACAGTTAATCCCTGGAAAGTAAAATAAGTAAATCTCACAAATACATGAAAAAATGTTCAATATCTCTGGTCATTAGAGAAATTCAAATTAAAACAACAGAGATTTCATCTCACTTCAGAAAGAAACAAATGCTGGCATGCAGGCGAGAATGGGGTTCCTTCGCTGTTGATGGGAATGTAAACTAGTACAACCATTATGGAAATCAGTATGGAGAGTTTCAAGAAACTAAGACTAGAACCATTCCACCCAGCTATTCCCCTTCTAGGCATCTTTCTGAAGGAGTCAAGATATCATATTACAGTAATACATGCATACCCATGTTTATAGCAACAGTTCCTAATAGCTAAATCTTAAAAGTGGCCTATGTCCATCAACAGAGGAATGAATAAAAAAAGGTGGTATTTATACATAATGGAGTACTATTCTGCCATAAAGGAAAATAAACGAGTCATTTGTAGGAAAATGGACGAATTGTGAAACCATAAATTTCAGTGAAATAAATCAGACACACAAGCTCAAATGTCACAGTTTCTCTTATATGAGCAAAACAAAATATAAAGAGCAAAATAAAAGATAAATAATAGAAAAAAAGAAAAAAGAGATGGAAGGAGGGGGTAGGAAGGGTAGGGAAAAACTGCAGCTGGGATGGAAGGGAGAAGGGTAAGAAAAAGAATTAAGATGTATTGTGTAAATGTACCAACTCCTCACAATGAATGTAATCATTATGTACTACAAACATGTATTAACAAAAAGTAAGTAAAAGAAATACTTATGTCTGATTTATCCAAAAGCCCTGTAACAAAACATACTGACCCACACTCACACTGCTTTGGGATGGCCACAGAAAAGCAGTCTGTTAAAAAAAAAAAAAAAA